AAAAAAAAAAAAAAAAAAAGCAGATGGCAAGGTCTTGAGTCTATAGGGAAAAACAATGGTTAAGATGGCAAATCTTTATGTATATTTTATCACAATAAAATTGGGAGAAAAAGAATTGGTGATGTTTGTACACCTGTTATTATTTCAGTTAAAACTTTCTGCTTTCCTGCTTATATTAGCACATATTATGTTTATAGCTCTTAATAAGCATTTTTGGAAGATGGGATTAATTGGATGAGCAGATAAGTGTGTCTTAGTTTTTGGAAGAAATCTTTGTATTTTACAAAATATATAAGACAAAGTCTCTACAGTTAATGCCCTCTGGGCCCATGCATGTAGAGACAGCGCTCGCTGGGAACGCAGCAGGGCATTGCCTGTGGAAACCCTGTATGTCGTGTGCCAGGCGTACTGGTTGACTTGTGTTGGGAAGTCAAGAGGCACAACAGAGTGGACATTCTGTGTCTGCGTTTGTGTGTTTATGTCTTTTACTTACACATTGTAAAATCTCTAAAGAAAAACCAGGTAAATTAAGGCCACTTCCATGTAATGTATAAATCTTTCTTGGAATTTGGAAAAAAATCTTAAATTACCAATGTAGCTATAACCTGCTTTTGCCCTTTTCTGTTACACTTTAGGACCTAAAGTGATCCAGACTTCTGCGGCAAATTTTTCTCTAAATAATAGCAAAAAGGTAAGACTGGGTCTGGGTGGCAGCTGGGTAGTAGGGTGCATTATAAACCTCAGGCCACTGAGAAATGGTTCTGCTTAGAGTCTAAGGCAGCCTGCCCTTGCCTTGTGGCTTCTGAGACAACACACATTTCTTACTCCATTGTCAGCTGCTGGCTTCTGGGTTCTCGTTTGCTAAAGTGACCATTTCTGTTGTAATAAATACCTCAGTACTTAGGAACATGGTGGTATTACTTCTTAGGGAGCAATTGTTCATTCAGAAAGAGTGGTTAACTCATCCTGATTCCTTGCATCTGTTAGTCCTGTCAGATTATAATTTTTAATAATGACACCACTTAGATGTCTCATCTTTCTTATTTTGCCCAAGTTAAGAATTGGCCTCTGTCAGGTTTCTGATGATCCAGTTCTTTCCAGTGATTACTTTGTATTCCTTGTGTGAACTCAGTTTAAATGAAAAATCCCGTCGAGCTAGGTGGCTCCTGCTTGTGATCCCACCACTTTGGGAGGTCGAGGCGGGCAGATCACGAGGTCAGGAGTTCGAGACCAGCCTGGCCAATATGGTGAAACCCCATCTCTACTGAAAATACAAAAATTAGTCAGGCATGTTGACATGCAACTGTAGTCCCAGTTACTCGGGAGCCTGAGGCAGAAGAATTGCTTGAACCTGTGAGGCGGAGGTCGCAGTGAACCACGATTTTACCACTGCATTCCACCAGCCTGGTGGACAGAGTGAGACTGTGTCAAAAAAAAAAAAAAAAAAAGAAAAGAAAAATCCTTTTAAAAATATGCCAACTTTTTATCATCTTGGTGAAAAGAGAGGTTCTTTCAATTGGAGAATTTTGGTTTTCTTGAATAAACGCTAGTGAGAGCCCAGACAACTAAACCTTTTTTATATGCGTGTAAGACACATAATCTTTATCTATAAATGCAACACAGTTGCCCTGCATCTTTGAGGCACCGTGATATACATAGTTTAAATCTGATTATATGACCCCAAATACCCCTTCTCTCTGTTCTCACACTTCCCTGCTAGTTTTTTTACCTTTACAATTTTGCAGAAAGGCAAAAAAAGAAAAAGCACTAAAATGACACCATTTGATTCTTGTCTTTGCTGCTGCTAATTTGAAGGGCTTCTGCTCAGCCTGTCTTCACACTTTCTTGGCATTGCTTGATTTTGTCTGTCAGCCTGATGATCTGATTTGAAGAGGTGCCGCTGTGGACTTTTCCTGGCAGTACATCTTTTACAGTTTCTTTCTTTTCTTTTTTTTTTTTTTTTTTTTTTGAGAAGGATTCTTGCTGTGTCTCCAGGCTGGAGTGCAGTGGTGTGATCTCGGGTCACTGCAACCTATGCCTTGTGGTTTCAAGCGATTCTCCTGCCTCAGCCTCCCGAGTAGCTGGGACGACAAGCACGTGGGCGCCCCCATGCCCAGCTAGTTTTTTTTTGGATTTTAATAGAGACAGGGTTTCACTATGTTGGCCAGAGTGATCTCGATCTCTTGACCTCGTGTGATTCGCCCGCATCAGCCTCCCAAAGTGCTGGGATTACAGGCATGAGCCACTGTGCCTGGCCCTACAATTTCTGTCTCAGGGTGTGAGTCTCTTTTTGACACTGAACACAGCAGTCATTCTAAGAGACCTGACTTGCATCCAAGAGACCATCCTCACTTCTCTAAGACGGTGGCTATCCCTGGAGAGGTTTCTTGCCTTGATGGTTTTTAGGCAAGTCTTCTGTCCTAGGGAGTTTCATTGAGACTCTGACAGAAGTATTAAAACACAAAAACAACACATTCATTTGAGACTCGCCTGGGCAACATAGGGAGACCGTGTTCTACAACAAATTAAAAAATAAGCTGGGTATGGTGGTGCACACCTGTAGTCCCAGGTACTTGGGGGGCTGAGGTGGGAGGATCATTTGAGCCTGAGGGGTTGAGGCTGCAGTGAGCCATGATTACACCACCGCACTCATGCACTGGGCGACAGAGCACGACCCTGTCTCAAAAAAAAGGAAAAAGAAGACCAACACATAAAACAAAAAATAACACATTCACCTGCAAAGACGACGCATTCAAATAACGCTTTTCTTTGGAACCATGGGTGGGCTGTTTCACGTCTCTCTGTGGCCTACTGCTATTAGACACCAACATTATGTCTTTAAAAGATAATGCAGAAGAATCATTGGCAGCATCATCACCTCTAATTATTCTCGCTGGGGTGAAAGCTTTCTTTCACAAAGCTAAAAATAGCATATGTGAAAGAGCAATTTACCTGGCATACGGATACTAAACAAATAATTTTTGAGATATGTTACCTTGTAAATATGAAAGTATTCCTTTGGTATTCTTTATTGTCTTACTATGTATGTCATCATTCTGCTCATTTTATTATTTTTCCAAGATTTTTTTTCTTGGTATTTAAGTAAGTGTATTGTCCCCAAGGCTCCAAGTATGGAACGTGCCTGCTTAGAGGTTTCCGTGAGAGACATGAATTGCAGCTGGAAGTTAGTCCTTCCTTTTTTCTGGAAGGCAGAAATTCACTTATGTTGTTGAAAGGAAAACCTCACATATTTCTGTTTCAGAGCTAACACTCAAACCTTTTTTGCTAAATGTAAAGTTTGTGTGTTAAGATGATGAGGTGTTTGGTAGACTCAATGAAAAGGTCACATGGATTACTTTGTTCTTTTTCTTCAGCTAAAGCCAATTCAAATACTTTCAAATCCACTGTCTACATATAATCAGCAACTATGGCTGACATGTGTTGTTGAGTTGGATCAATCAAAAGGTATGGAGCTTTACATTTTGGGATAATTTGTCTTTGTGTGAAGCATTGTATTTTAGATGTTGACTTCAGAATATTCGGACAAGTGCTCAAAGATAGATGTATAAGGATGTCCATTATTATTTATCATAGCAACAAATTGGAAACCTCTCAAATGTCTTTCAAAGTGGGAGAGAAAGTTACGATAGATCTATGTCCTCGTAGAGTCCTGGTCAGCTTAGCTCAATGGCTGCGTGGTGTCGGCCTGCAGCTGCCAGCCTTTTTCAGTGGGGATCTGGGAGAGAATTAAGGTCTGATGCCCTAAAGTAATGGTTTTGGCCCCCAGGGACACTTGGCAATGTCTGGAGACAATTTTGTCACAAATGGAGAGGAGGAGGGACTGCTCCTGGCATCTAGTGGGTAGAGGGCAGAGATGCTGACACCTTCCCCTGCTTCCACAACAAGGAATTATCTGGCCCAAAATGTCAGTGGTGCAGAGGCTGAGAAACCTTCCCCTAATGCATCCGTTGTTTATGATGAATTAGCTTCCATCAGTCTACAGTGGCACTAGCTTTGTATCATCCTAGGGAGAATTGAGAAGATTCTCCCTCAAATCATTTTCTGTTCAGTGCTTCAGATGAGACACTGGTTGAGAAAGAATTTGAAAAGATCACCCCATGACCACAGTAAATGAAGTGAAACAAATGCATATTACAAAAAAGTTACTCCCTCTTTGTAACTGTTTAGAAAGCAAAAAATTTATACTACTACGTATTTGTATGTCTAGAAAATAGCTTGGAAGGATAGACACAAAATATGAATTATGATTATCTCTAGGTGGTAAAATTCTTAGTGTTTAATGTCATCTTTATATTTTGTTATGATTTTTAAAAATGAGAGTATAATTAGGAAAACATGTAATAAGAAATAAGAAATCTCTTTTTTGGTGTAGAATTTGGTAAATTAAAAATGTATGTGAGAAATTAAACATATAAGTTTATTAGTCATGAAATATTTACCATTTTTTTGTTTGTGAAGTGAAACTGATGGATCTGAAATGCAGGTTTTGATTTAGGCCCTCTGGGTGCTGGGTTGGGATCTAATGGAAAGGCTTTACATTGCTGGGCAAATAGAAATTTCCAAATGTTCTGAGGCCAATGTGGCCTATGGACCTATGGACTTTCTGTGTTTTCCTGGCTCCGAGGTCATTTCGGAGCCAGGAAGGCGCCTTTGGAGGTGTGATGTGCCTGGCATGGTCTCTGACACTGAATTTTTTTTCTTTTGTAGAAACTTCCATTAAGACAAGCTTTCCCATGACTGTTAAAGTCGATGGTGTAGCTCAAGATGGAACCACGATGTACATTCATAACAAAGTTCACAACCGGACAAGGACCCTCACATGTGCAGGGGTGAGTGTGCGGGGTGAGCCCCACAGTCAGTCCTTGGGCTGCGTACACGTTTAATTACAGAGCCACTTTCCCATGTAGCGTGGTAAGAGGCTTTGAGAAAATTGTTCTTAAGTGAAAAAAATGGAGTCATATTAAAGATGGCCTGAGAAACTTACTTAATTTTATGCTTGGATACCCTTAGAAATTCTTATAAACTTACACATGTAGGCACACATCCATAAACACACGTGTATACACACGTACTGCCAGCTACCCTAAGCATATGTGGTACTTGTTTTTATAGTGTGTGTGACCTGCTGCCTGCTGTGTCCCTAATGAACATCATGGGCTGCCATCTTATAGGAAGGTCTGCCACCAGCTATCGTCACTAGCTTTTTTTTTTTTTTTTTTTTTTGAGAGGGCTTTGCTCTGTTACCTAGGCTGGAGTGCAGTGGCACAATCATAGCTCACTGCTGCCTCAAACTTCTGGGCTCAAGCAATCCTCCTACCTTAACTTCTCAAGTAGCTGGGACTGCAAGTGTGTACCACCAGGCCGGACCAATTTTCCATGGTCACTCTTGACTGAGGCTTTGGGTTGTTCCCAGCCATGTGATGCACGCCCTCATCTGTCTGCGTGAAACCGAGTACCTGGGCCTCTTGTGGGTCAGGGGCCTGGGGCCTGCCTTTTTGAGCATCTACTTTAGAGCACAGTGTGGCTAAGGGGTAGGAAACCTGGGGTCCAGAGTGGGGAATGAGCCCTCACGCTTGATATCATTGGCACCGTATTCTCTTTAGAGCCCAAAGAACCAGAACCAGATCCCTTCTATAGCAAGGAGTCCACCTCGGACACAACACAGGTTATTGGCAGCGTGGAGAACATGGAGAGCATCAAAACAGCGCAGTGCATTTGCTTATAGGATTAGAAAAGTAATGTCAGAAGCCAGGTGGCAAGTAGTTCCTCTGCTAGGTGTCATGCCAAGTACTGTCCACTCATTGTCTCATTCAGTCCTCATGGCAGGTCCATGAAGTAGAAACTGCTATTAGAACCTGTTTTATAGAAGAAACTGAGGCTGAGAGAGGTCTAAACCATTGCCCAAGGTAATGCAGTTTTTAAGTGGAGGGCCCAGGATTTAAGGCTGTCCCCTTTTATTCTGAAGCTCGTGGCCTTAACTACCATGCGTACTGCCTGATTACTAGCGATACATACACTGAACCTGTTTTACCTGGCAAGAAAGGATTAAAGGGCTGGGCGTGGTGGCTCATGCTTGTAATCCCAGCACTTTGGGAGGCTGAGGTGGAAGGATCATGTGGGACTGGCCTCTCATTCTGCCTCCAAGGGTTGAGCCAGCTTCCTAAGTGTATTTTCCCCATCTATAAAGTGGGGATCAAGCTTTCCCTTCCTGCCTTAGGAAAGTAGTAAAGATGCAGGTGATTAACGTTTGAGCGTGCCTTACGTGTGCAGCACAAGGTCCTATCTGACAGTCATACCTGTTGTCCCCCAACTAGGCCTGTGTGCAGAAGGGGTGTGATCAGTCCTGCTGAATCACAGGAGGGACAACAGGTATGAGTGTCAGATGGAACCATGGCCAAGAAACCGCTCTCTTCCCATCCAAGGGCCTGGTGGCCACTCCCACCTGGACAGCTGATAACACCCACCTTGCTGCCTCTCACATTGAGGCTCAATGGACCATTAGTCAGGGGTTGCTTATTTGGAGCTGGTGAGACATCATCCTGGTTTGCCTGCACTGAATGGTTTCTCAGCACACAGGACTTCCTGTTGGGACAAGTGGGTTGCCTTACCTAAAGCCTTTGCTTCAAGCGGGGCACCCGCCACCATGCTGGGCGGCCATGGTGCTGGCTGCCTGCACTGTTGCTTCTTGGACCTGGCCACCATGCCATGCACCTTGAGACTGGTGCTTCAGTACATCTCTATGGCTTCTTCCCTCTTCCGTTTTGGCCCTACCTCAGTTTACACTGTGTCACCCCTTGGGTGCTGCTGTTTGCTTCTGTTGCCTGTCTACTCAAGTCTCTCTCTAACTCTGCAAAGAGCACCGCCCTGGCATTTAAAAACATGGAATTTTAAGTTGACATTACAGAGTCATTTACCACCCTATTATATTACTTTCTTTTTTTAAAACACAGTCTTGCTGTGTTACCCAGGCTGGCTTTGAACTCCTGGGCTCAAGCAGTCCTGCTTCAGCCTCCCAAGTAGCTAGGATGACAGGTGTACACCACTGTGCCTTGCTTGCTTTTTTTTTTTTTTTTTTTTGCTTTAAAGAAAAGCCATTGTCTGACTTAGGAAGCAAAGCTTTCCACACCTTGCAGGTGAGAGCTGTGGTACCAACACATGATTTTCAGAGGTGCGTCATAGTCAGCAGCAGAGCCATGGTTTGAACTTGGGATTTCAGAATCCCTGGTGTAGTCTTTTTTTTTTTTGAGATGGGGTCTTGCGCTGTCGCCAGGCTGGAGTGCAGTGGCGCAATCTCAGCTGACTGCATCCTCCGCCTCCTGGGTTCAAGCGATTCATGCGCCTCAGCCTCCCGAGTAGCGGGGACCACAGGCGTGTGCCACCAGGCCTGGCTAATGTTTGTATTTTTAGTAGAGACCACCATGTTGGCCAGGGTGGTTTCAATCTCTTGACCGCGTGATCCACCCACCTCAGCCTCCCAAAGTGCTGGGATTACAGGTGCGAGCCACCACGCCCAGCCAATCTTTTTAAACTCCTAAATATATGCAGCCTGAGATATAACTCTTTTGTTAATTAAAATGTCCCTGAAAGGTGACACACATTCTTAAACTCACAAGAAATGTTTGTCCACACAGTAAAAATGTATTTACAGGTTTTCAGCCATCCCCTCCTGATGAGGCCAAGTCCTTAGCTGCCCCTGCCTCTGTGCGTCATCCCGTGACCTGAGTGCCAGCGGGGAAAGGTGAATTTAGTTTTGCTGAGGAGGAGGACCACACACTTAATGCCCAGAGGGCAGGCAGCAGATTCCAATGGGGAGAGCTGATCAGGTGGAAGGGAAGCCTCAGCTCCAGAGCGATGAAAATAGCAGATGACCTGTGTTTCCTTTATAGGAGAATGGGAGGCGGGCGGGTGGCCCGCCAGAGGGCTTGCAGCTCCCTCCTGGGGGAACCCCTCCCTGTGGAGCGTTATGAGCTTCAGTGCAGGCCCAGGGCTGCCAGTGAGCTCAAGTGTTTGTCGAGTTGAGATGGTGACCTTGATGCCTCCGTCAGCCCCCTGCACACTCCCCTCGTCTCTGCTTTCTGCCCCTTCCCTTAGGTCAGCACCCCACTGTGTCACCCAGCCTCATATCTCTTCCACCTCCCTGACAGTTGCCCTCTTCTCTTTTTGTTAATTTGTTTTTGAGACAGAGTTTTGCTCTTGTTGCCCAGGCTGGAGTGCAATGGTGTGATCTTGGCTCACTACAAGCTCCACCTCCTGGGTTCAAGCGATTCTCCTGCCTCAGTTTCCCGAGTAGCTGGGATTACAGGCGTCTGCCACCACGCCTGGCTAATTTTTTGTGTTTTTAGTAGAGACGGGGTGTGTAAAACCCAAACCCACACCTGTTTTCTTACCTGATCTCAGACATTCAAGGCTTAGCCCGCCATTGGAGCGATGCCTTGTTAGCCAGAGAACCACCCGTTTGCTCCTGGTAGCAGCTGGATGGTGGAGAGTGACATTCCAAAAGGCAGGGCCGGGGCAGAGCTTGCTGGAGAGGAGTGGCCAGCTCTGTGTGCATGGCTGTTGGGTGCACCTCTGTGTCCCTGCATGAGGGTTCATCCTCCCTGCCAGTCTGGAAGGGGATAACAAAGCATTGGAGACCTGGCTGTTAATCCTGAAGGAGAAAAGGAAGGGGCTTTTGACAACAGTGGAGCACACATGTCCGCACTTGCTGCTGTGCACACAGCCTTTGCTTTGACTCTGGGTGGAGGGAAGTTGGAAGGTGGAAGGTTGAAGGTTGAAGGTGGACGCTGGAGGGGAAAGGGGGCTCCAGGTGGAGAATGACATGTTAAAAGGAGAGAAAGAAAAATATGTAATTCACTGTTTATTATTGCAACAATCGCAAAATTGGGCCAGGGAGGACAAATTAAGCTGCAGCATCTGTGTTGACGTGTCTCCGCTTACGTTTCCCCGTGCTCTGGAATTATATATTTATGGAAATGTCAGGCTTGGATTGTACTGTTAACCTTCTTACACAGTGACTTATTTTCAGTCATCCAAAGTAGAAAGATTCCAATTGGTGTAAATCATATATTGTGTTTCCAAAAGTATCCATTTGGTTCATTCTTTCTAGGAACTGTTTTTGGCTGGCTTCTGACTTTCTCTGGGCTTTTGGCGAGTTCCGCTCATCTGCTGTTGAAATGTATTATTTCATGGGTCATTCGGTGGGAGCGTGAGTCTCGCTTTCTTTAAAGACAAATCTTCCTTGTATATTTGCAGAAATGTGCAGAAATTATTGTGGCTCACCTTGGCTACCTGAATTATACTCAGTATACAGTGAGAGTGGGATTTGAACACCTGAAGCTCCCCATCAAGGGAATGAACTTCACAGTAAGTATACCAGCTGACTACACATTTCCATGGCTCACATTCTAGTTCCCATTGTTTTGCCGAGTGATTGAAATGCATCTTAGCATCTAAATAATGCTATTTTGGACAGTGGAAGACATGTAAAGTTTTTAAAAATTACAGGAAGACTACAGTTTCTTAAGTATATAGAACTAAGAATAGCTTAAAGAAATAGCATGGAGATTGGGCAAATGTTAGGTGGTCTGAGATTTAGAATAGAGAGGGTGTAGTGTGTTCAGTTGCAAGGCAGCGAAGGGGTTAGCATGTATACCCTCCTATAGGCTCAGCACTCCCTTCTCCAGCCCCATGAGTGGTCGTCAGCCCCTGCCTCAACTCCCGATGAGTGGGAGGGCACTGTTCTTGTTAGAATGGCCTTTCTTGTGTCCAGCTGAAATCTGTCTTTTCCACTCATTAGGAAGTCGTATAACCAGCATAGTGATGAGGAGTCGGGGTTTGGATTGGACAGTGAGCTGGGTTCTCACCCGCCTCCATCATTTACTCATGTGATTTTGTTGAGCCTCAGTTTTCTTATCTGTAAAATAGCTACCTCATAGAGCTGTGAATATTAAATGAAAATATAATGGATACCTTCAAAAAAAATAACAGCTTTATCAAAGTAAAAAGTAGCACAGTCAAGGAGTTGTCCAGTCAGTCTGGTTCCAAAACAGTTTCATTGCCCCTTAAACCTGTTAATGGTCATTTCCCATCCCCTCTCCACAGTCCCTGGCAGTCGCTAACGTTCTTTCAGTCCCCGTGGATTTGCCTGGTTGGACATTTCATATTAATGGAATCACACAATGTGTGGTCTTCGGCGACTGGCTGCTTTCACTTAGTGTGATGTCTCAAGGTTCATCTGGGTTTTGTGGGGTCCGTACTTCTTCGTTTTGCTGAGTGATACTTTGTCGTGTTGCTAGACCACATTTTGTTGATCGCTTCATCAGTTGACAGGCATTTGGGTTGTTTCCGTTTTTTGTCTAGTGTGAATAAGGCTGTTGTGAACTACACAAAATGAGTTTTCTTCTCTGTCTACCCTATAGCTCTTTGAAGGCGGCCATCTCATCCCCTCTGAGATTGTTCTTTTCTTTCACATTGTGCCAGGGATGTGACCCCTCTCCATCCCTCTGGCTCCAGGTTTCCCTCCTGCAGCTGCCCAGGTCACCCGGCTGTGGGAGCAAGTGCTCCCAATGCAGAAGGAGTAGGTGGTCCTGGGCTGTGCTGCTGGGGCAGCTGAGCTGGCTGTCTTGGGAGCCACGTCACTAGGGGCCTTTTCCTTTTTGGCCCTTTGCCTCAGCCAGCCTTTCCAGATCTTTTGGATCTAGATCTGGGATCTGGTCTTGCTGTCTGAATGATCTGCTGGATCTTTGTCCTCCGAAAATCTAATTAGTATTCTGCTTGTGTCCTCAGGTTCACCGTTTGGAGGGATCCCAGATGGGGTCTGAGGAAGGTGCACTGAGCTTCAGCACACTTTGATACAGTCCTTTGCTAAACCATCTGTGCTTTAGGCTTCGCTAGTTCAGAATCATTGTGATTCAACAATGCAGACAAACAAGGGACCTCTTCCTTCCATCATCATCTTTATTAGAACGTCATCTCCCACAAGCCTTTTCTGGTTCTCAGCATCTTTCTCCAGAGCCTGTAGTTCATCCTGACCGTATTCCCTGGGTGTATGCATCACTGTTTTATTTGTCTTTGTTCTTCCATCTTTTGTATCTATTTATGTTTCCTCTTAAAGTTGTTCCTGAAGAATTTGGTAGGATCCTGGTTGTTCCTGAAGAATTTGGTGGGGATCTTAGGTGAACTAGGTCCATGCTGCCATTCTGCCATTAAAGGCACGTGATACAATGTTGCCGTGAAGCTCAAAAGGAATGGGTTCAAAAGACGCTACCATGGGAACCACTCACTTTGAATTATACCACAGGCAGAGCATCATGTTTGGTGGCACTCTTCAGCATCTGGAAGGACAATCCTTAAGACCCTTGGGATTTGTAAGGGATGTCACCAGAGACTTTTCTGTTTTTGTACGTTTCGTATCCCCAGCAGCTAATGTAGCACCCGGGAGCTGCTAGGCTTGCAATAGATACATATCTGTTAAATGAAAGAGCAACAGTACAGCACCTTACGAATTCAGAAATTCACATGGCAGCAGACTTCTGAAATTATGTTTATCCTTGCTGTAAACCAAAGATGAGAGAGTTCAAGAATGAATGCCGTTTTTTAACCAATGAGTTTTGCATAGATTGGGCTAGGGGCAGTAGCTTATGCCTTAATCCCAGCACTTTGGAAGCCCAATGTAGGAGGATTGCTTGATTACTTGAGCCAATCTGGGCAACATAATGAGACACCATCTTTTTTTTTTTTTTTTTTTTCTCCCATTTTCACCCAGGTTGGAGTGCAGTGGCATGACCTCGGCTCACTGCTACCTGTACCTCAAGCAGTTCTCTTGCCTCACCCTCCCTAGTAGCTGGGATTACAGGTGTGCATCACCACGCCCAGCTAATTTTCGTTCATTTAGTAGGGATGGGGTTTCGCCACATTGGCCAGGCTGGCTTTGAACTCCTGACCTCAGGTGATTGGCCCAGCCAAGAACCCATCTGTAAAAAAAATTTTTTTAAATTAGCCATGCATGGTGGTGCACACCTGTAGTCCCAGCTACTAGATAGGCTGCGGTAGGAAGATTGTTGAGCCCAGGAGTTCGAGGCTGCAGTGAGTTGTAATCACTGCACTCCAGCCTGGGTGACAGAGCGAGACCCTGTCTCAAAAAGAAAAAAATGCAAACATTGAAAACATCAACAACCGAAAACATCCAGGTTTGCGAAATGCAAGGACACAAGTTTTCTCGTACACATGAATGGGGTGTAAACTGATTGAAGTTGCGGGGTAATTTGGCAGTGTAGAAAAGCCTCTACTTCCGTGTGCTTTTTGACTTTAAGTAATTCTAATTTTAGCAATTCATACTATGGAAGTAGAAATACACACAGTGATTTATGTTGAAACCTGTTTCTCAGAGTAAGAAGTTGGGAGCAAATCTACATTTCAGCAATAGATTTCTGGTTAAATAAATTAGTTCTGTCGCTGCTAAAATAGTAAGTTAATAGGATACATAGCACAAACTATATATTTAAGCAAAGAAAAGCACATGAATTAGAGGTGTCTTTTATAGGATACTAGAAGGGTAGAAGGCTGTCTCTGGGTGGCAGGATTAATCTTTAATTTCTTCTGTGTTTTTCTTTATTTCCAGTATTGAATGTTTAGTATTTCTATTACCTGTAAAGAAAATTATTTGACAACAGAACAGGAACTCGTGAGGCAACTAATATTTGAAGGGGGAAGTTCTGGGCACATGCCAGTATCCATCCCAGAACCTCAGGTGCTGGTGAGCTCCACATGCTGTTTCGTCTGGTCTGACTCAGCATTCTCGGAGAATCACATAATCAGCATTAGGCTGGCAGCTTAATGCTGATGATGAAGAGAGATGCACTAAAGTGCGGTGGCTCATGCCTGTAATCCCAGCATTTTGGGAGGCCGAGGTGAGCAGATCACCTGAGGTCAGGAATTTGAGACCAGCCTGGTCAACGTGGTAAAACCTTGTCTCTACTGAAAATACAAAAATTAGCCGGGTGTGGTGGCAGCCACCTGCAATCCCAGCTACTCAGGAGGCTGAGATAGGAGAATTGCTTGAACCTGGGAGGCAGAGGCTGCAGTGAGCCAAGATTGTGCCACTGCACAGTAGCCTGGGCAACAAAGAGTGAAACTCTGTCTCAAAAAAGAAAAAAAATTAGAGAACTGCATGCAAAGTGTTTCTATGTCTTTTATAAAATTGCTGTCGAAGACATTGTGTTATGAACGTTAAACCTCTCAATATTAATTCTTTTTTTCACATTATTATTATTTAGAGCAATTTTAGATTCACAGCAAAATCGAGAGGAAGGTACAGAGAGTTACTACATGCTCCCTCTGTCTACCCATGCACAGCCTCCCCATTGCCAACATCTTGCACTAAAGCGGTACTTTTGTTACGGTTCATGATCCCACGTGGACACACCACCCGCAGTCCATCGTTTACGTTAGGATTCCCTCTTGGTGTTGTACATTCTGTGGGGTCCACTATTTCTAGTACCACAGAGGGTCATTTCAGTGCCTTGAGAATCCTTTGTGCTCCACCCGCTTATCCCTCTCTCCTCCTCAGACCCCTGGCAACCACCTGTCTTTTTATACTATTTCCATGGTTTTGCTTTATTTTTTGTTTTTTTTTTTTGAGACTGTCTGTTGCTCAGGCTGGAGTGCAGTGGCGCGATCTCGGCTCACTGCAACCTCCGCCTCCCAGGTTCGGGTGATTCTTGTGCCTCAGCCTCCGGAGTAGCTGGGACCACAGGTGCACACCACCATGCCTGGCTAATTTTTGCATTTTTAGTAGAGACGGGGTTTTACCATATTGGCCAGGCTGGTCTCAAACTCGTAGCCTCAGGTGATCCAGCCTCCCAAAGTGCTGGGGTTATGGATGTGAGCCACCATGCACAGCCCCTGCATTTTCAGCTTACATGGGTAAATATCAAAGAGCAAGACCAGAATTTCTTTTGCTATTTGTTGTACCTTTTATTAGAGAATGAAAGCCATGGAATTCATCACATTTCTGTCTTGGTACTGGCTGTCAGAAATTTCAGAAGTAAGTGTTTTGCTGAATTGTAGTAATTACTAACATCCTGGTATGGATTTCTAGTGTAATTATCTGCATTCTTTCTTCACTATTTTGCCTTTTAAAAAAACTTTAAAAATTATTTCTATTTAATCTGGCTTTTTATTACAAGCTGCCTTCATTTCTTTTTGGAAGTAAACAAGCTATAATGAATAGATAGACACTTAATGGTATTTTAGTGATGTTACTACACACCCACCAGGATGGCAGAAATAAGATGGAATATGCGGAATTTGGCAATGATGTTGGACAGGCGGATGTGGGGCTCCCTGCTGGGGAGCGTGTAAGT